GCACTGATCATCACAATATACCATACCACAGGGCTTCACTGCAATATCGTGGTGAACAGGGAGTGCTGCATATACATGCAAATCATTTGAACAACATGGTACTGCAACCACATTGTCAGCATACAATTGCAAAATTCCCAACCAAACATAAAGAGGCTTTCAAAAAGTTGGATACAACAAATTGAAACGTTTTATAACTACAACAGTTATATACTATTCAGTAATATCTGCATTCCAGCTCTGCTGTCACTCGACTCCTCTTATGATCTTTCATTTATGAAGACAATGTTCAAAAGACCTCAATCTATGCTGACTTAACTGACCTCAATTGTAATTGCAGCTGCCACAAGTGTAGTTAGCCTCACAGACTCAGGGCTCGGACAGATAAACTGGTCAGAGTTTCTGATTGTGATCATTTTTCTCATAATTCAATAGAGGACAAGTTTGGATTCAATACCTGATCCCTGACTACACTCTTGTTGTGACAAAACCATTTGCCAGATTCGGTCAGGGTTAAGAATGGCCCTTTAGATGAAATACCAAAGGCTGCCAAGCACCCCTGCAGCCATTTTAGAACCAGCCAGGAGTAAAATTGAGAGGTGTTAGGATCGGCACAGGAATATTGGGCTGGGGAGAAGGAGCTGGTTTAATCCATGCTCTATATTTGACTTCAGGGTAAAATTTATTACTTAATTGTTAACTCAAAATAGGCAGTTTACCACTTCCTCCTTACACTGAATTTTAGTGAATGGTAACAGTTTCAAAAAGTTACAGTTTAGATTTATTTATTTGTCACATGTACTAAGTATAGGAATACATAAGTACAGTGAAAAGTGCACAAAGTCGCCGTTCACTGGTGCCAACTTGGTTACAAAAAACAGAATTTTAAAAATTTTAACAAAGCCAAAAGGTAAGCAAGAAAAAAAGAAAAGTCCAGATCTCAGAGTCCCGAGTCCCGTCTCCAGTATTCTGCAGGCCCTACTCCAATCATTAGGACTCCTAGGAAGCTGTCTCCACAGCCGTCATGCAAAAGGCCCACTCTTGCCTTCATCGCCACCTTACAGCCCACTCTCACCACCAAGTTGAATGAGGGAGGGATTGTCATGGCCTTTAGCAACACAGCCTATCTTCACCCTAATATCCTTGGGTCCAGACTACAGTTTTTATTTCATTGTTTGCAATCTAAATCTTTTATCTGGTCCCTTAGTCTACTCAAAATGAGGATTTTATTAAATGTGTGGTAAATTTGGCAAATAAATCTAGGGTTAGCACATAACATTAACAGTCAACGTAGGAAATACATACTTAACACTTCTATGGTTTTCATTGGCATCATCATTATAATCAATGGAAAAAACTGTCATAAACCAGATTTACTAATTTCAGGACAAGAAAATCACATGTTATAACAGTACAGCTCATGTTAAACTGTTCCTAACGGGCTTCGATTTTTGATCTGGGAGCTTTGCTTGATCAAGCGAAATTTTGCTGAGTCACTGAGTTGTCACTGGCTTTTATGCCCAAGCAAGCTGACAGCATTTCTCTGCTGAAGGCATCAAACGGACAACGATCCTCATGTACTTGCAGCCAGATTAGGATCATGTTTATTTTAACCATTATTCATAGGTTTCTTAAATTTAACCAAATGAAACTGACATTTTCCTTTCATGCTCACCCCATCCAACTTCTATTGCAGGGTGTGTATGCATAGGTCATTGGTTTTCAGATCAATTTTCATGTATTTACGATTGGCTTTTGGACATTGCCTTTGAGAGCAAGCAGACAGCCAGCAACCTATAGCTATCAGTTGCTGCCACCACTTCACCATTGGCAGATCACTTGTCCAAAAAGCATTCAAGTAGTAAGTGTTGTATACCGGCCTGAAAGGGTTAACATCTGGTCAAGTATGATCAGCAACACCTACTGTGATGCTGTCAAATAGACAATCACATGGACAGTCCCACAGAGAGATAGAGGCAAAGACTGTGAAGGGACAGATATGAACGCTCTTGTGTAACCTGTATAATGTGCTAAATCGAGTAAACATTTTCTTTGCTAACTTTACCAGACTCTCAGCATCACCAGTAGCTAGACTATATAGATGAATGACCTCCATCCACTACAAAATACTACAGGCAGCCGCTAAGGGTCACAACAGTATACAAATCCTCCCTAGAGTACAACTAATATGCATTCTCTGTCAGTGTGATTAAGAGTGACATTGGGACATGCAGAACCTAGTATCTTGAGGTGTATTTTCAAATTTCAAATGAAGAAAATTGAAGAGAAACCATAAATCTGTATATTGTGGCTATGTGCTCATTTCATTCCTGATTATCTATATCTGAGATCGTCAAATGAATAGCAGCATAACTTTAAGAACCTGCTACCTCTTCTGAATGAATTTCACATAATATAACCTTAAATACTACACCGCCATTCTTCCCTTCTACCCTTGAAGGCTGCAATACAAGTTGGTGTACATTTAGTCGAGATTAGCTAACTTTCAGTCATTCCATAAAGTGTGTGTTTGTTCATCATGGATGATCCCAGCTGGTAACCAGTGACAGACTATTTCAAAGTGAAGTAATTTAGCCAAGCCCCCTTCTGACTTTCCATCCGTTTTATACAATAGCAATTAATAATAATGAACAGAATCAGATATTTGAGGTGATTGCCTTCCCAGCTCCGTAAACAATCCCATGAAGAGAGAGGCTGGTTATAGTCTCAACACTCTGTCTCTGGCTGTATTAGCTAACCACAACTAAGTTAATTTACCACGGCCAAGGATCAAATCTAGGAAATGGGTGATCTGCCTTTGTATCACAAAATACTGAGTGATTGACATGGGATGGTGTCAGGAGGGCTCACTAGTTCTTTCAAAATACAGCTTGCTTTTCTGAAGCAACATGGGATCTTTTCAAAGTTGTGATTAAAGCTGCACTTTCACTTCACATGGAACTTTCCAGCAGAGTCAATAACAGCTTGTCCTGAATTGCATTTACGTCCCAGTGTAACAGCTAAGAAATGCTTGGGTCACAGCAGGCACTAAATTTTCTGAGACATGGTTTTTTTCCAGTTTCTATTTTAATTTTGACACATAAGATGTAAAGGCTACCATAAAACAGAAACATGTCCCTGCAGAAAACCTTCTCAACTAAAGTTTAACTGTTTACAAGTCAAAAAACAAGCTCCACTTCCCACTCCCATTTCACTGTTTTAGCCAAGAAAGCTGTTTCAAAAGTGTTATTTTTGTGTTATAGGAATGCTGACTGTATACAAATATATAATCTAAACACTAATATATGACACATGTCCATAGAAGAAACAAAGAGTTTTACACCATAGTCTTTTCCTAATTATAACTTTAAGATGGAGGTGGTGACTCTCTGTCCTTCAGTTAAAGATGGAGCAAAACACATCAAATTGAATTTTCATGTTTGATGAGAAACTATGAACTTCTCCTGGACATGTGCATCAATGGACAGGTGTGACTGCAATGCACCACAGAGCTGAATGGCTGGCACTCAAAACGGGCTTATATATAAAGGATGGGCCCTTGCACATTGCAATGAAGCAGTATCAACAGCCATATAAATCTGCAACTTAATATGAATCAAAAGGAAGGGAGAAAATGGGGTGCGATCTATGCGCTAAGTGCTTGAAGCTTTAAGCGCCATTCTGGTGTCAGATAAATGTGCATGCAGCATATTGCCACAGCTATTTAACGTCCACATTCTGTTTGAAAACTCCAGCTTTTAAATCTAATATCCTATAAAATAATCTGCAGAAATCCTCCAATGCAGCCAATGCAAATTTGAATAATAGAGAGGAATAAATCAGCAACTGAGAAAAGAGGAAGAAACAATAAAAACTAAAGTTATTACAGAAAGAATGCGCAACAAAATATATTTTTAAAGGTAATGAAAGGGTTAATAAGCAAATAAAAACTTTGTACAGGCTCTCTCCTCCCCCTCAACACCTGTTCAGTGGCAAGACCGTGCCATGATAGTACATTGAATCCTCCCCCACAGTATCGTGTTTTGGATTAATGATAACTTCAACTATTCATTTTGTTCAATCTTTAATAGTCGACTGGACTGAGGAGGATAAACCAATAAAGGACATTTGGTGCACAAGTACGTAAAGGTACATAAGCATCCAAATATGATTACTATACATGCACATTTTTGAACCCGCTAGATTGTTATTAGGAGAGGGGAAATCAAGCTTAAAATCATTAATTTCTTTACTTAATTCCATTTAAAAAATCCTCATGACTTGTTTCCTCCTCTCTGTCTCCACCATAAGCACACAGACTGTTTCACACATACGATATATGTTGACATTGTACTAGTCTCAGTGTATAAGTTATCATTTTAAATGAGATGTGCTGCACGGATGACTGTATGTTTGAAGCTGCTCCTTCAACAGTTAAATGCAAAACCCATTGCTGCCAAGGAGTGCAAGAACTAAGGAATTAACCTTTATTTAAAAAGCACTTGGATAAGAAAGAGTTACTTTGATCCTATTATTCATGTTTAGGATCATCACAGCGTTTATGTAGAACAGCATCGTCAAAATAATTTCTGTAAAGAACATGATCAAAAAAACCTCCCAATGTTTCCTCTAAAGCACTCAGTTTTATGCTGTACATTGTGTGTTTCCAGGTTCTCAGCAAGCAATTATATAACCCTTTGAATACCTGAGTGTGTACGCATCTAGATCCTCTTTGCATTTCTTTATGTGCTAAAAGATACTGTTCAAACTGTCAACCCAACATTTTAAAACAAGGCTGTAAGCCAGCTGCAAAACAGAAAAATCAGATCCGCATAACACTGGAGACGATTGGAAACCTCTCAGATCCTTAGCCTGTGATTAGTTTTTTTTTAAAAAAAACAAGCCATTGAAATAAATTCCCTCAAAAGGTTCAAAACAGCAACAGGACATCAATGAGTCTGTTTGTAGTTCATTGCATGTAATTAACTTGCGTTTCCTACCTGAGGATAGCCGTGTCTCCCTGCCTGATGGTGATGTTGTCCGTCCCCCTGGAGAAGTCCACGCTTCTAACCGGCAGTCCTGTTGGAAGAAGGCAGAGAAATCTCAGAAGGATTACGGGTAGTGGGCGCTGATAAAAAGGACCCCGAGATACCATTGTCAGAACAGGATGAACGAGCCGGACTAAGAGAGAAAGCTCTCCCAAACACTGTGGCAACACTAAAGCTGTCTTCACTAATCGCAAGCTTTGCAATTCCAAGCCCCAGCTGAGTGCCCACTAATCTGACAGCAGAGGCATCACTTGTAAGAGATATGTGAAGCGATGCTCTGAGCGTGAATTGACTGCTTTCTCTCCTCACGCTTTTTTTTAATTCACCTCCCCCCACCACCCTCTCCACCATTCGCATCCCCCACTCCTCCCCACACCCTCCCACCACCACAGCCACCCCTTTGGCAGCAAGCTTGATGAAGGTCTGATACCACTCCATCACCATGGCAACAGCTCCATCTGAGGCAACTCAACCCAGAGAACAGAATTGTGCTTTGAGGCAGAAACTTACCAAGCTGTTAAAGTGAGGAATAAAGTTAAATCCTGTTTTTTGGCAAAAGTAATATTTTTTTGTGAATTGAGCTCGCAAAACGCGGAGTGTTCAGTGGTGAATGACTGATGCAGACTGAATCTAGCAGTAATTATCTGTGACACCAGTTTTGCTGAAAAAAGCCCAACAAGAACAGCTGATAATATTGCAATATGGGCTGAATGCAGTCATTTTGTACTGAGCAACAGAAAACAGAGAACCAATTAAATGCAAAATCATTGGTCAACATTTTAACCAACTTGGGGTTCCCTATTTTAGAACAGTGTGTGTACTCTCAAACACTGCATGCATTAGTAAACAGTTGCATCAGAGTTCCTTGAGCATGCACACTCTGATAGAAAAACATCTCCAGGAGTTAGGGCCTGTGATCAATGAGATCACTGGATTCAGTTCACTTACCCACTGAAATGTTAACAGTTACATTAAAGGATATAAACTGGTTCTGTCCCATTTTCAGGGCTATAAGTGACAATGTACATGGAGCTGTGCTGTCGCCAGAAGGCCTTATTGTGGCCCAACTTTGGCCCCAGACCTCACTTTAATAATATAAACAAACCGTTGTACCAATTGTGTCTACAGAAACAAACTGTCCACTTCAAGCAGTTGAATTTTGGGCAGCTTGTCTTCAGCCAAGGCACACAGCTTTCATTCCTGAGGGAGAGAAGGGTAATGTTCACCTATGATTTTGCATTTAATTGGTTCTCTGTTTTCTGTTGCTCAGTACATTCAGTCTATATAGCATTAATATCAGCTGTTGTAATTTGACCTCATAGCAAGACTGGTGTTAAAGATAATTTGGCGTTGACGAGATGAATGAGGTTTTCGAAGATAATACAAGGAGGATGGGATCATCAGTGATCAGCTGCAAACAGAGAGACCTGTGAAGCTGGGAACTGTCATGTTGATAATAATGGTCTAATAATCAACCACTCATCAGGGATTAATCAACTTGGTGGGTTAGTTATTTAAAACAGTAAAACACATTATGAGTTATGAAGCAAGCATTATGGCAAACAACTGATTTGTGTGTGTATAGCTTGCAGACCCAGAGTAGACTAACAGCCAGACAAAGTCACAACATTGCATACACATAGCACATGAAGTCATGAGGAGTGAACTCTCTTAAAGCCAAGGTATACATACAACATCCGCTACCTTTGTTAGATGAACTATTTACCATGGCAAGTAAGCTTATGCATCTCCATAATGTATCAGTAATCTGCTGATACATACAGATCTTGTGACAGTTTGTCTGGAGATACCAATGATTGGCCAGTTGTCAGTGATATTGTCGGTCATTCCTGTTTGTGTTCATGATCTTATATATGGTACAACAGACACTGGGAAACTGAAACAAGTGCAGTTTGTCCTTTGTTCCATTTCACCATTGTTTTGTTATGTGTATGGATCTGATAGGATGCCTGTTCTGGGCAGATTATCTCCTCAACTTCTTGCCATATAATTTCTATGGATTCTCAAATGCCTCACTTGTACTTTTTACAATTCTGTATCCACATTTTTATCATGCTTGTTGGTTGTCTTCATTTGCAGCTTTACAGCTCTCAAGTGTTAAAAAGAGAACTTTGGGTATGAGCCAATAAATTGGTACACATTGTTCTGCCAAACATTAGCTCCACCAGTGACAGAATGTAAAACTGCAATGAACAGATCTTGCCTGGTCTGTCTACATTTAAGGATTAGATGTTTGACTGTGTAAATCATGCATTCAGCTGGACCTGTGGAGAAGTTGTAGTCTGATCGATACTCCATTCTACACATTTTTTTAAATGGGTGACCAATATATTTCAGATCATTGTCTACAATGATCACTTGAGGGATGCTAACTTATCTAAAAGTGGAGCTTTGAATGTGCGGGACAATTGTGCTTGACATGTTTTGCAATTGATAAATAATAGTGCACTTGGTGAAGTAGTCAAGAGGTTGGATGTAATTTTGGACAAAGATGGGCAGGGACTTAATACAGTATCAATGGTTCTTCGTATTGACTTGGCGTATGTTCTTGATGTTCCTGTAATTCTTAACAATGATTCTGCTGATAACTGGCCAACATACCAAGCCTTTTAAAAGCCTTCTTATCCAACATGTCAGGAATAAAGTTGTTGAAGAATATCAGGTTACAAAGATTCTGGTATGATGTCCAGCCTTCTTTTAATGATCTCTCAGGAGACACCTGGCAAAAACATTTAATTGAATCAGGGCATTCTTCAAAGATGACTTTCCAAAGATTATGTATGATGGAATATTTTCCAGTATCTTTTCTAAAGCTGTTAGCATCTGGGTGCAAAATGCACTGTCAGTTTGGAGAACATCTTTAAGTTTGATAGCAATGAAGCCAACTTATAGATGCCAGAGGTATATTGTTTATGTCCACTGGGCAGATAGCCTGCAAAGTGTATCCGCTGTGACCATTACCTTGCATAGCTTGTATATAATTTCACAGACATAGCTTCAGACCTTTATCAGGTGGTGCTGCAATCTTAGGGTTGCACCGGTCAATGGTCTTTGCTAAATCATCTCCAGTGGTTTGTTATAATCTCTACCACAAATCTTTGCCAAAGATAGGAATGAAAACATATGAATCTAAAAACTAAATCTAGTATTTATTACTCAATATTTGAGTAACTGGACTGTGCAACAGAGAGAGACCTTTAATCAAATTCAATTGATTTGCAAAATAGGTTGAAATGTGACCACTTCCTTGATGTATGCAGAAAGCAATATTTTCTATATGTTTTAGTGGTTGTGTCAATTGCTGAGCTTATAGTGAAGACCTGTAAGCTTTGTTTACCTGCAAGGATCACTGCATACATATATACATCCTTTTGTAGTAAATTCATGTTACAAGTCTTCTATTTCCATAAAAAAAATCCAGAAAGTTTTCACAGGGGTGTATATGATTATCAACTCAACAGTTTTATTTGTTAGCTTCCAATCTGAAAAATCACATAATGAGCCTTTTTCTCTGCAGCTATTCATAAAGTATCTATGGATTCTGTTGGGTTCGGTCTAAATGACATTTCAGATTCACAAAATTGCTACAGCGCCTAAAGTTGTCTTTCAGACCATCGTGCCTGCATTGGTTCTATTACCTAGTGCCAACCTCCTGAATGTTCCCCATATTCCTGTGTACCACTTCTATCCAAATAATCATCCAATGCTCTCATGAACGACTCAGTTAAACCTGCCTCCACCACACTTCCAAGCAGTGCATACTTCCATACTCTAACCACTCACAATATGAAAATGTTTTTTTCTTACATAACCCTCGCTTCATTTGCACATCATTTTAAATCTGAACCATCTCATTCTTGTTCATTTTACAAATGTGAACAGCTTTTTCCTGTTATTCTATCCTGCCTGCTCAAGATTTTGCTGATGAAATCAAATCTTCTCTCAGCCTTTTTTTCTGTAAGAACAGTCCCAACTTCTTCAATCATTCTTATAAATGAATTTTCTCATTTCTTGAATCAATCTTGTGAATCACTTCTGCATCTCTCTGATGCATTCACATTGTTCCTATAATGTGGCACTCACAACTGCACACATTACTCGAGATGAGGTCTAACAAGTACATCATACATGTTCAACATCATGTCCTTGCTCTTTTACTCTACGACTGTATTAATAAAATCGAGAACACTGTATGCTCCTCTAACTGCTCTATCTACCTCTTCGCCAAATTTGATAATCTGCGCAAATATATTCCCATATCCCTCTTCTCCTGGAACCCTCTTAGAATTGTACCTCCATTTCTCTGCACGGAACCTCGTCTACCACAAAATGAATTCTCGTCAATGAATATGAAAGTTTAATCTCTCTCTGAATTGGTATTCTAATGTATCTCAAACATTTCAGGAACCTGTAACAATTTGGCTGGTAGCCCTGATATGTTAAGTCTGTATAAACCTTCATTCTTCATTGCTGAGCAAATTCTATTGTCTTTTTTTTTCTACCTTTGCCATACTTGAACCCAGTAACCACAGCTCTGGATGCTGGTTAAATATTTTAAGTTATGTTAGGAGGCCTGCTGTGTTCCAATTTCAATGATGGAACTTTGTGGACACTCTGACAATATGCCTTTCACCTTTCTCTGCTTGCTATTGATCTGCACACACCCTGATCACTTGCCTTTTACAAGTGAGTGAATGTGACCCCTCAAAGGAAGCCTTTTCTACTTCCAGCAAGCTATGTTTTTAACACTCTCTGAAACTGTAGCAAACAATGGTATCTGGGTTATCTCATTCACCTTAGCAAAGTTTAAGTCTGTAAAACAAAGTGCTGGAGAAACTCAACAGGTCAGACAGCAGCTCGGCAGAGAAAAGCACAGATAACATACTGAGTACATCAACCCTTCATCAGAAATGAAGCTGGGAAAAGGCTGTATTTTTGCTATGAAAGCGATGGGGATGGTTTGAGGTGGGAGGAGTGAGATGGATAGATGGAGATGGTATCCGGGGAGAGGAAAAAGAATTGGAAAGCAGTCAAGGGGATTGGTGATCATGTTAGTTAGTGCTAAATAGGTGATAATGGAACTGTG